ATTTTTTATAATATAATATATATTAAAATATATAGTAATACATTGTAATATTAATGTTTTTTTTTTTTATCGTAGTTAATTTTTAACATTTTTATATTTATTATTAAGATGTTGAAATTAATATTTGATAATATTAATTTGTCATTAATTTAATTTACATTTATTTGGGTTGATTTTAAATTTTCATTTATTAATACTTAACAATTTTAAAAATACATAATTTCTAATTACTTTTAAGTAATAATTATTTAATATTTCATTTTGCATTTCATTAAAAAAAAAAAAAAAAAGAGAGAGAAAAAAAAACAATAATAATATGGTACATAGTATTTATGATTTAGAAATGCAAAAGGTTAACTCATTCTCTCGAGAAGAATGTTAACTCGATTTTATCGTGAAATTCATCTATTTTAATCTGTCATGAAATTAAACTATCTGCGTCACGTATATACATACATATATACATATATACACATATTTATACAAAATAACTCGCGTAAAAAAAAAAAAAGAAGAAGAAGAAGAGTAAGATAAAAAAAAAAACAAACCAATTAATTATTATTAAAAATTTCGTACTCGTATTTATTCGCGTTAATGAAAAAGAAGAAATAATAAACAAAAATGGCAAATAAGTATGCACCTTTTATTCATTGGAAGGACTACTTGTATGAATCAACGAATCAAGGGCAAGTTCGGGTGCCCTTGTGAATGTGAATACTAACATAAAGATGATTCATAATATCAAATACAATCCTAAAAGTTTAATTATATGATCAATGATAAAGATCTTATATATCAACCATTTAATTTTTTATAAGATATTAATATTACTTTTGATGATATAGAAATATATCTGTGAGATAATAATATACGAATCATTATCACGTAGTTATCGATCAATCAATGGCGTCATCGTATACTTGTCAAGGTTAACTATAACACACAGACGCTCAAAACGGATTGTAACCGCACACAACGATACTTTGTTAAAATATCTGAACAAACAAAAACTAAAAAAAAAAAAAAACAAATATTATTATATCGTTTACTCATCGATAACATTTTAACGAATTGTTAAATTACTGCAAAAAATATATGCAATTATTCTTCTCGCTTCGATAAATTTCTTTTTGTCAGATTTGTGAGCTCGAATTTCTGTTTGGGTTTGGGTTTGGGTTTGCTTGGAATATCGATGTCGTCATCGTTGAAAATGGATTTCGTTTTTTCGACACCTGTCTTTTACGTTCGTTTATACCTTTTTACAACAAAGAATTATTTTGAATTTATTTTTCTTCGTACATGTAATTATATTTAATAAAAAATTATTTATTTGAAAGAAATTAAAACATAATAAAATAAAAAATAAATAATTTTTACAGACTGTTGAAGAAATTCTTTTTTGTCAATTTGATTTACGAAAAATTCAAAATAGGATATATTTAATAATATATAGTATATAATTATATATATATAAATTATTATTATAATTAATATATTTACCTATATTATTATTCATAATTTATTAAACTAAACAGTTCTAAAGTTATATATATATAGAAAGCTACTAATCTTAATATATATAAATTACGTGTCACTTTGTTTGTACGCAATGGACTCCTAAACTACTGAACCGATTTTCATAAAATTTTGCACAATGTGTGCAATTTAATCCAACTTGAAAGATAGGATAGTTTATATCTCTTAGTTTATAACAGATGGCGGTATAAAGTAATTCGTTGACTTAAAGACGTGTGTATCGGACTGATTGTGAGCCACAGCAACACGTGGCGGGGCACCCCTAGTTATATTATATATTATAATAGTATAATATTATATATAATTTATTATTTATAATATTAAATTAAATATATATATATATTTATATTATTATAGTTATATTATTATATTTATTATATTTATTTTTAATTATTTTATTATTATATATTTTGGTATTATTTTATTATTAATATATTTATATTATATATTTTTTTATACATTTATATACATAAAAATCAGTATTCAATTTTGAACTAACCTAAATGCAACCTAATGCAATAATACTAAACATTTTTCATCCCTTAAAAAAAATTCTGCATTTTAGATAAAATTTAATAATAACTTTCAAACACAAAATTCAACTATTTGACTATCCTAACAATTGATATTTGTTAAATATTTTTATTTCCTGAAAAAAATAAAATAAAATACATACTAACCTATAAATATGTGAAATCTATTCAATAAATTAGACCTCCCAAAAAACAAAATGATTTTATTTGTGCTATTTTTTTTTTTGAGAGGGGAGACCTTGTTAATTTACTCAAAATAATTTTGAATTGATTTTTCTTTACTTTTTCTTTTCAGAATGTTGTAAGAATGCCGTCGTTATTGGAAGCCTTAGAGCTGAAGTACGGTAGCTCAACAACAGAATGTTCGTTGACAGACGACGAAGGAGAATCTGGTTCACCTAAAGCAGCACTTTCGGTCAGTATATTCATTCCAAAAAAATCACCACGTCACACGGTACCAGCATTGCTGGTACTACAAGATTGCGATATCGAATGTGCCGGTAATGACGATGAAAAATTACGTAACAAGTGTAAGAACGTTGAAGAATTGGACTTAGCCCAAAACAAATTGTCACAATGGACCGAAGTATTTGGTATACTTCAACACATGCCCAAAATCAAGTTCGTTAATTTAAGCTTCAATTGTTTAGCCGAAGTATTAGAAATCAAGCATGGTAATTACGATTTATTGAGAAATTTGGTGTTAAATGGTACCAGAGTTTCATGGTCCACGGTACAAGGATTGATACGTTTGTTACGTAATCTAGAAGAATTACATTTGTCCTTGAACGAATATAAAACGGTTGATTTGGATTATAGAAAAGTTGATAACGTTAATAGATCGTTAAAAAAATTACACTTCACTGGTAATCCTGTAGAAGTTTGGAACGAGATATCAAAATTGGGATACGTTTTTCCAAATTTGGAAAGTCTCGTATTAGCCGAATGTCCAATAAGATCACTGAGACTCGAAGAAAATCGTAATTTACTTACCAGTGATCGTGAAGATTTGTTAAGGAAAAATGATGATCATCCTTCGGAAAATTGTATTCAAGATAATGAAAATATGAATAACGTTGACGATGAAGAACTCATGTCATCGGTTGGTGATACCGGTAATAATCATATTATCACCGAAAACAAAGTCAGTTATGATAGATCGGAATCGGAATCAGAATCGAGTAACAATAAAGTACCTTCACCACATGATCCATTCAGAATGCTTAGGTTTTTAAATATGAATGGAACTTTACTTGGAACATGGGATGAAGTTGAACGACTGTCCAGATTTCCAGCATTGAAATCTTTAAGAATTCACAGCTGTCCATTATTCGAAGTGAGTAGTAAACACCTAAAGAGAAATAAAAACGATTTTTATTTGTTTCAACTCAAACTGCATGACAATTGTTTTTGTTTTGTTTAAAGAAGGAATAAATTATAAAACAAATATGTTAAATGTTTTTTTTTATTTTTGTTCTTTATTTTGAAATAAAAGAGTCCTCGAGAATACACGGAACACGAAAGACGTCAATTGTTAATAGCAAGGCTTCCCAATGTCGAAACATTAAATGGCGGTGGTGTGATTTCGTCCCAAGAACGCGAGGACGCTGAAAGAGCCTTCATTCGTTATTACATGGACAAACCGGAAGCTGACAGACCAGAAAGGTTCATTTCAATTTGATTTATATAGAAAACTGCTAAACTATTTGGTTCTCTGATCAAATAAATTTATTCTGTTTCATTTCATTGTGTATGATTTTGGTCATATGTTTGTTAAATTTATGAAAATTGTATTTTAATTATTAATGAAATAATTATATTATAAAAATCGATTTTTTAGGTATTCCGAGCTTGTGGCTATTCATGGGAAATTGGATCCCTTAGTACATGTTGACCTAACACCAGAGAAGAGGGTCAAGGTGACGTTCACTTATGGAGATCTTGTTGAGGTATTTACAAGTATTTAATTACTCATTTTACTTATTGTCTCACTTAAGTTATTTAATATACAGTATATATTTATAATCTTGTAATATAATTAATAACAACATTAAAATAAGAAACACAAGTTTAACTATTTCACTGTTTTCCGTTACTTTTGTTGATTTTTTTTTATATAAAATGATTATCGTTTTTTTTTTTTTGTAGGTACGATCGGTAGATGTATATAGAACGGTTTTCGAATTAAAAACTAAACTGGAATCTATGGTGAAAATTCCTGCTAATAGGATGAGACTCTTCTACGTTGATCAAGTAAGTTTAGATTTGTTTATTAACTAATATGAATTTTTATTACTTATTTTACAGAACTTTTGGTTCCTCGAACGGTGTTTTAATAAATGTGAAATAACATTATGAAACCTTATACACTAATCCATTAATCCATTAATCCCAAATGACAATTGATTTGATTCCTTTTTATCAATTTACTTATTGTATCAATGAATTATCGAAAGGTAAACTTGAGACTAATTTAAATAATCTAAATAAATAAAAATTATCATTTTAAAATAATTTTATATTATACAATATGAATCTTATTGTGAAGTTTATTGTGTTACACATTGTTTTATAAACTGTATAATGGGTTGGGTCTTCTTTTGTAAAATTTATATTTTGGAAATATTCATTTAAAAAAAAAAAAATGCATGAACTTTTAATTTATCTTAATAATTTGGAGTAACATAATTTTTGTCATATTTTTTATTATAAATTGACAATGCATTTATTAATCGAAGTACAGATTGGTAAACATAAATTTGACAAAAATTATGCATAAAAATCCTATTAATAGTATAATTATAATTTAATATCAATAATATTATTTTTATTAATTATATTATATATAAATTATAGTAATTATATGTAATATAATATATATTATAATATATATAATTAATTTAAAAATTAATAAAAAAAATACAAATATAAAAAAATTAATATAATAATATTATTAATAAATAAAATAATATTATTATAATATAAATATATTATATAAATATAATATTAGTAATATAATTAAATAAAAATAATAATAATAATATTTTATTTATATTTGTTATTTATTATTATTATTATATAATTATATAAAATGAACATAACATTAATATAATATTATTATTAATTATATAACAGGTGATGAAGGGGCATCATGGACCCGAAGAAATGTTGTATCCAAACAAACAACTATATCGATACAACATAAGCAATGGTGACGAGATAATAATTGATAGTAAATTGAATAGATGTGCATCAGCACCATCAAGTACGTCTTCCATAAGATCCTGAGAAAAAACAACTCAAGATATGGTAACTTCCTAAAATGATCGATCATTTTTCTTCGATAAAAATCGATCTTCTTCGTCAATCGATATGAATCAATGAACGAAACTAAACAAAATGATGAATGAAAATAATAAACGTTTGTTTATTTTTCCTGGACACGAATAATAATAATAATAATAATAATAATAATAATCATAATAATTGAGAATCAAACATCAAGAAACATTCTTATATCAATGAATTCTCGAATTTTACGAGAAAATGAGATTAATCATTTAATGATTTGAAACAATTTGCAATATATTAAAAAAAAAAAAAAAGAGATTGTTAGTTGGTAATTTGTAAACGAAATTCGTCATTTACCAATTGGTGTAAATCGTTTTTAATGAAAAATAGATGAAATAATTAGAAAATAATGATGATGATGATGATGATGATTGAATGATCATTTTGATAGATGAAATACGATTTAAAATGTAGATTATAATTTTATTATATAATCAAATTCACACTAAACGTTGCAAATTAAGTACGTACAGCCACAAAATAATGAAATAACATGACAAAGATAAAAATGATATATAAATATATATATATATATATATATATACGGATTAATCTGTATGCTTTGCATCATTTTTCATGATTTATCATCTTATAATACGGTTGAATGAACAACCTATACTGCTAGCCATAATTAATAACTTTATAACATATTATAATATGTGAATTAAATTTACAAATAAATTAATTCAACTGGACGCGATTTATTGAACGTTACTGTTTAATAATATTTTGTGACTCTGATAACAAAACACAAAAAAATATTACTTCGATTCGACTAAGGACAATGATGATAATAATAATAATAATAATAATATTAATAATAATAATAATAATAATGAATGATTTAAATAATTGTGAAGAGAACGAGTTAAAAAAAAAAAAAGAAGAAATCTATTGCCGATTATTATGAAGCTGCCTTGAATGTGTTTTTTTTTTTTTTTAATTAACTAATTGAATTATACATGCGTAAATAATATAACATCGATGAGAAGTAAATTTTTTTTACGCGTGATCGTACGACAAACGTAATAATAATCCTATTGAAAAAAAAAAAATAAATAAAAAGGAATTTTATGCAACAATTTAACGTCGATGATCAAGTTAAAATGTGTTATACAGTTATCGATAATAATATTCTTAAAAAAAAAAAAAACGATACGTTATATAAAAATAATTGATTTAAAATAAATTATGCTTTATACGAATCTTTGTACTTAAAAAAATCATAAGAAAGTGAGAATAAGAGAGATTTATATAAATATATATATAATATATAATATATATGTACGTTAGTTCCTTTTTTGCATGTTAAAAATGGGAATGAACTCTTCGTAAATCAATAAAAAGACAAACGTTATGATTAAAAATAAAATTCAACGATTAATTCGTATAGCTATGATAAAATACAGACACACACACAAAAATATAAAAAAAAATAGGATACATTATAATAACATGTCCGGTGATTATGAAATTGGTTTTTTGATGAATTAATTCATCAAAAATTTCTTTTTATTTTAATAATAAATTTAATAAATTAGTTTTTTTTTTATTAAATTTAATTAATTATTTTTATTTTAGTAAAATAAATTTAATTAATAATTTTCATTTTAATAAATACAAAAATAATATTATTGTTTATACAACATGTAAACGATTAACACAATTATACGAATTATGTGTAAAAAATCATTTTTGTTCTATTTTTCTTTTTTTCTTTTTTTATCAATACCAATTTCATAATCGTCGATCTCTTATGTAAAAATTAATAATAATGATAATAATAATAGTAATAATAATATTAATAATACTAATAATAGTAATAATAATATATACGCACGCATACATTAACATATATACGTACATACAGACATACATACGGTGCCAAAAAAAAAAAAATCAAAGTTTTCAATCGATCCCAATTCGTATCGTGAAAAAAATATTTTTGCAAAATTATTTCTTAACTCATTTAATTTTCAATAACATTTTTATAAACAATTGACACGAAGGGGTTTTTTAAAAAAAATTATAAACGATCTAAAAAAAATTAATTATTTTAAATAATTTAGAAAAGAATATAATTAATAAAATTAAATTTAATAAAAATTGACCAAATAAATTTAAAAAAAAAAAAAAAAAAAAAAAAACAAGTAAAAAACGATATGTAATCGTCAATTTGTTCAAACATTTTAATGTAAACTAATTTATTATTAATTCTGTTCAACTATTGTTATAATATTGTCTACATTTATTTTTATTTTTTTTTTTTTTTAAGAAAAGATTATCTTAATTATTTTATTTCTTTTGAACAAATACACACCCTCAAGTTAGCAAGCAAACATACATACATACATGTACAAATCTACACGCCCACACACGTACACGTACGCGTATATCTATTTAATCTATAACCGTATATTTACTCATTCTATATTTATACATTTCTCCTGTTAACATTATTATAACACGCATCTTTTTACAAATTATTTTTTCAATAGATTGTTCACGAAAATGACAAAAAAAAAGTATCAATAATATTGTTAATTGTATATTAATCATCTGGTAATCATTTCCCAAAGAGACAAAGATACATTTTTATCTGCTTCTTCTAGTTAACCATAATCAACTTATTAACATACATATATACATATATATATATATATAGTTCTCAATCAGATAAATTTATCTATGCTTATTATCATTAACACTTTAATGGCCGCACATCTACGCAGTCAAACGCAGTCACCATGGCCTGGTAATATTTTTAAAAAATAAATTTAAAAAAAACTTTATTAAATTCAAGAACAAATTAACATAAAAATCAACAATTTAACAATGAATTTATTTTATATATAATTATAAATAAAATAACGGCCAATGTGTTCCGGCTATCACACACATGTTGTATGAGCGGCCATTAAAGTGTTAATACACAAAACACGTTAGAAATATTTACTTACAAAAAATGAAATTTATCTGATAACAAACTTAACTGTCTTTCATTAATTTAATTAAAATATGAACATTAATTAATGTTTCATATTTTAAACAATTCGTTAGATTTTGTTATTTTGTTGAAATCAATCATCTCGGACGTGTTACATTTTCATTGCAAGATTTATTTAAAAATTGCTGCACTATATAAAAAATATTCAAAAAAAAAAATAAAAATAAAAATAAAATACACGTACGAATATAAATTTAATCTATTTTGATAGACGTTAAGTAGCAATGAGAATGAATGAGTGTAAAAGAGAAAGAGAGAGAGAGAGAGAGAGAGAGAGAGTAAATGTTGCGTGCTTATAAACAAAATGTTGCGTATAAATGTAATAATTATATTATTTTGTACAATTAGAAAATAACACATAGAATTGTTCGTTAACGTTTTTA